TCCCCTCTTGAAACTGAGTTACGTGCTTATGACGAATTTACTGAGTCCACCTCTTTCTCTGTTAACGTTCCAATTTTTCTGGGAGGAATCACCATCTGTGGGTTTGAAAGAGGGAAAAATACGGTAAAACTAAAGCTCAACTGTAAAGTTGTCTTCGAGGGTTGTTTCCTGACCGAAAACCAATGGGGCCTTAGAGACGGATTTGACGTTATATTTGAACAATATCATTTGATAAATCCCAATATACCCTGCTTCCTTGAAGCTTCAATCAAAGGGCAACATTTTTATTTCAGTCGATGTCAGAATAAGAAGGAGCTGGTTTATGAGAAAGTTCGTTTTCGATTTGGTGGCCCACGTTTCCAAAGTGAGTTTATATGCATTAACGAAATTCTTTTTAGACCTTTTAAGAACAATTAACCCATGAAATTTCAGCCATGTAAATGTACTTCGTCAGGTCTGCATAAAGCTCACCATTGAGATTCTAGAGATGAAAGAGTCACTCCTGCAATTTTCCAGTTCTAAACAAATGAGTCCCTGCTTCATTATTTTCCTAGGCTGCACACCTGGGTAGTAAATAGTATTTGTTTTAACAAATCTACATGTGTATGTTTTAACCTAAACTTGCCTTTAATTCCATCCATCGCTTTCACCGTGGAAGGGCTGGCTGTTAGAGACTGACTTAGACAGTATTGGTCAGAGTGGATTATGTGCACAGTAATTCTGATTTCTGGATTATATTTTTGCCTGTTTAAAGAAATAATGGAGTATAAGAGAAACAAGGTATATTTTTTTAACAAATACATATTTTCCTATATCTGTGATCCATCACTGTACACACCCATGGCATGGATTCTTTTTTGTTTTAAGGTGGCTTATCCCTAACAATTTTACTATAATTATAGAAACACTCTACCCCGGCAATTTTTGTAGGTAGCAGCTTTAATGAGGGTGTTTGTGCCAAGTAATAATTATATAAACTAGGGAGTACAACCCGATCAACCAGGTTTACTCAATGATAAGAAATTTATATACAAAAATATTTACACAATAAAACCAACAATAACAACTGCAGGAAAAAATGAAATTATTTGAAGATCTTAAATTACCATGCAAAAAAGTGATCTGTAACTTTGATTTGAGTTTTCATATCTCTAAATTTTATACATTTTCCAATCAGATAACCTACTAGGAACTACTAAAAGACCAAAAAACAAAAACAAAGAAAGAAAAAAAAAAACAAACACATTTAGGTACATATATACTATTTTACAAAATATTCTGATGGATTTCATACATTTTTAATCATAACATTGATCTTCACATATATAGGGGAGAGAATTAATGAGAAGGAGTTGCTTCCAATTAAAAAAAATAATAAATCTAAGTTGGGCAAGTATCATTGAAAGCTACTTTTCTCATGCAGGAAAATGGACACAGGACATGAGTGAGGAAAACAAATGAGGTTATTTTCTATATGGAGGAAAAGAAAATTTATCTAAAGTAATGTTCATATTTTTTTTCAACTGACATCTAAGTATAACAAGACTTTACAGTGCAGAAGCCATTCCAGCTCTTAAGCAACCAGGGGCATTACATTACCACTCCCCACTGAGATAAAATGCTGTACTCCTTTGTTGTTTAGCATCTGACATTTTGCAGAACTTGCAGAATCCCACTAATTGCATACTAAGAAGGTTATGCAGGCATGGTGTTTTGATTGTGAGTCATGATCGAGTGACGACAGTAGAATATCCCCTCACAGTATCAAGCAGACAAGTGATGAGAATAAAGTAAAATATCAATTGGGGGATTAGTTGATCCGATACCAAATTCTCTGAACTATCACCATGAGAATTATATTGGCAGACAGTAAGGAGAATTAGCAATGAGATCTTGGGAGGGAAACAGTCAAGGATAGAGGGGGTCCCAGGGCCCTCGAAACCTTCCTCCCATCCAACCTTAAATTGAGAAAGGAATCAAAACTTTGCATCTCTTGTGAGTACTCACTGTTTAGCATCAAAACACATTAATTGTCATATTGGAGTTGAATTCTGGAGGTGGGGATGACAAGAGAAGAACTGGGCGTAGTACGTACAGCATTATAGAGTGAGTACATTACTTGACATAAATGTAAACTTCACGAGCTTGACAAAGCAAAGCTGAGTAACTGTTCATTGCTAAACATATAAATGTAGCACTTCAATGACGTCATGTTCAGACATTTTTTAATGGAAAAAGGGATAAAATACACATATCTGTGATAGAAATGAGATACCATAGGGTAAAAGGAATGAAATAGTGGGCTTACATCTCATCTAAATGCAAATCTAAAGATTTTTCCATCTCTGAGTTATGGACAATTTCAGCACAGACCCGGGAGAAGTGCGAAACTACTTTAAGTGGATCTTATCTGCTGACATATTTTGTACTAATTGAGACCAAGATCACTCATAAGATTTACTTCCGCTTATGCGATCCTCTCAAAAATTACTTCCTCTTCAGACTACAGACAGTCTTTTCACCCTCCACATCTACTTGAATATGGCTACAGCAAGCAGTAATGACAATGTTTGTGAATAACAGCTGATAAAGAACACAGTCGTTAATGAACTTTAGACCCCAAAATCAAACACAGCCGTGGGCTTGGGCTGCCTGTGGTTTTACAGGAATTGCTGTTAGCGGATTGATTGCAAAGTTGCAGGTTGAAGAAAGTTGTTGGGAATAGTAGAGCGTGGGTTTACTTTGAGCAACCAATTTTGGGATTTTCTCTTGTTTTTCATCAAACTCATAACTTGTTACAAATTTGCTCATGTTGCATGGCAAGTTGAGGGTTTATCTATCTCTTAATTTGCCATCTTTTAACATCATTCTTAACAATGCAAAATGTTGTTTAATATAGAGATATCCTCAATGCATCTCCCCTTCACTAGATCACAAATACGAACCAAAAGGAATGCATGTATAATTTAGCTTATCCTAGTATAAACGGCTTTATTGTAACAGATAACTTAATATGTACTAGGTCAGTCATATGCTCTTTGACTGTGTGAAACACTATCCCTACATTCAGTAACTTGATAACTGATTTTATAGCTGAGAATTAGCTTAGAAATATATCAAAATAAAGGGCTTGATATTATATTTCAACACGAGTAGTGATCAATCAACCTGCACCAACATAGTAACTAAGGATGGTCTCCAAATTAGTTTTTATTACACTCAATAGGTATATGCTTGATGCCAATTACTTATCAGTAATTATTTTTTTAAGCGAAATATTGCATCATCCAAGAGAAAAACAATTCTTAGTATAGAACTAAATAAGTTTTTTTTTTCTTTTTTTTTATCGACATTTATCATTAATGTAGTAAGAGTTTTCTTTTTACAAAGATATCATTACAACAAAATGTTAGCAATGCCATGTTAGGAATCCACTCAAGTTAGCCTGATCCTCCTTAGACCAATGAGTAATAGTCCATTTTACAGTTGTGTGCTTGGTTGCCAAGCCTTTGAATGGGAGTGAGGCTGGGGTTGACCTTGTTATGATACAACCCTTGCTGCCTTTCAAATTAATGTAAATCACTATCACAACAAGGTCACCTTCAGCCTCACTCTGAATCAAAGGCTTGGCAACTAAGTACACAACTATAAAATGGCCTATTGAAGAACACAGCTGACAAGGCTTGGATTTTCAGTATTTATTCGAGAATGTAACCTGAAGCTGTACAGATTGCAAAATCACAAACATCGCTGAGAGATCCTTTCATTGAAATGACAAATCTAGCAAAAAAACTTACAGTAATTTTGTCCAGCCTTGTTAAAGCAGAGTTATAAACTCGCCAACATCAAATATCCTTATGCAAATCCTTGATCCTTAGACAAATCCCTTTTAAATCATACATAAAACATTTATACTTTCGCTTAGCACGACACGTGGCAAAACAAAACTATTACATAACGACGAGACGGTCCATGAGGCCTTGCGGCCCTCAGACTAATTTCGAGTTCAGTCCGTGCGGTTGAGGTAACACAACACTCCTTATTACTTTTTTTAGGGGACCTTAAGCTCTACATCTTTCCCTCCCAATCACACAGTCAAAACAACAACACACTGGTGTTGTCTATTGCCATAGGAGCCCTCAAATGGAAATTTTTGGGTATAATCTCTGACTCATCTTCATTCCCGGTAACTCGAAACCTAACAATCTTAGAAATACTGAGCCCTAATCCCCAAAATTTTACTATTGCAATAGAAACAATTCTCTACACTAGCATTTTTTTTGGAAGCAGCTTTAATGGGAGTGTTTATGCCAAGTACTCTACAGTAAGGAGCACAACATGATCTATAAGGTTTATTCAAGGATAAAAAATACATATACAATATCATATTATTGTGTACACTGATACTGTGCATTGTAAATTATAATGAAACGGGAGGGATTTAATAAAAGTAGAAAAGGCAATAGGTATAACAATACTTGGTTGGAACAGTTCTTGACAACTTAAATTCACTAACAAAAACAAACAAGTCAGGACTGAATGGCAACATATTCAACAAACTGATTAACAAACTGATTAACTTACTGTATCTCACTAGTCTTGTGGTGTAAAGGTTTTCATTATAAGGAATTCCTACCTACTGATTTGATTACGTAGTGTATTCTTTTGCTGCGCAGCTCCCTTTACTTGAGGGGAAAATGACCTTTGTTTGTAATATTGTGCTCTCATATTTCACTGCTCTCATCCAAAAAAATCAACTCTCTACGAAGGTCTTCTACTTCCGTCCTCTAGATGGCCAATGTGCAGACTTTGGACTGTAAACAATTACAGTATTTATGTTCACTGAGACAAAATTTGCATGTAAATTACGAGACAGTGGATATTCACTGTTTACCATCAAAATTACAAAACGCATCACCTTACATAATCATAATGCTTTCAACAAATCTCATCCGCTGACCTTTTTTTAACTCGTTCCAGGAGCGCTCATATTATTCACTTCAGCTCATACTTCCTTTCTTAAGTTACTTTCACTTCGAACTACAGACTCTTTTCCCCCTCCACATCTACTTGAAAATGGCTTCAGCAAGCACTAGCGATGATGTTTGTGAATGGCAGCTGACAAAGAACACAGTCGGAGAGCGAATCAAGCACATGTACAGAAACCCGTTGATGGCCGATGTCCATTTTACTGTCACAGATGGGCAAGGAAGTTCGTCCCTTAAAGTCAACATTCCTTGTCACAAGTTTATCCTGGCTATCAGTAGCCCTGTTTTCTATAAGATGTTCTACGGTGAACTGAAAGAAGCTTCTGATTATATTGATCTCCCTGACTGCGATTCAGAGGGATTTCTTGAGTTCTTACGTTTCATCTATTGCGACGAGGTCGAATTAACCGGAAGTTGTGTTATTCAAGTGCTCTACTTGGCCAAAAAGTACATGATTCCGTCACTAGCTAACCGGTGCAGAAGCTTCTTAGAGGCAAACGTCAACGCTGAAAATGTGTTGGATTTGTTGCCGACTGTAGAAAAAATGGAGGAGATCCATTTAAATGATGTGTGCTGGAACGTTATTGATACACGTACTGCGAAAGTCTTTGAATCGGCCCCAGATGCAATTCTGGAAGACAAAAATCTTCTGGCTTCCATATTGCAGAGAGATACTCTTGATGTCGAGGAGGTAGAAGTTTTTCAAGCTGTGAATCGCTGGGCGGAGGCAATCTGTGCAAAACGAGGTAAAACACCTAGTGGCCAGGAAAAAAGCGCAATTATTGGAGAAGAGGTTATGAAATTAATACGATTCCCTTCTATGCCACTGAGTCTTTTTGGTGAACATGTCGTTGACACCAAAATACTCACAGACACCGAGATCATTGAAATTTTTATGTACTTTAGCGTAACTCGGATTGCCAAAGGGTTTTCTTGCTTTCCAAGGTGTTTAAACAGTTCAAATCTACTTCGTTGCAATAGGCTCGAGCATAATTCCCGCTTTTGGTCTCGTTCGCTTCCTTGTTCTGACGATTCTCGTCAGAACATTTCTCGGTTTCCTGAGTCCACTTCCTTCTCCGTTAATGTTCCAATTTTACTTGGAGGAATTACCATCTCTGGCAGTAGAAGAGAGGAGTATACAGTGAAACTAAAACTCAACGGTAAAGTTGTCTCGGAGGGTTGTTTCTTGAGCGAAGGTAGACGGGCGCATGATGGCAATTTTTATACAGGCTTTGACATTATTTTTAAGTAATACCACTTAATGAACCCCGATATACCCTGCATTCTTAAAGCTTTAATCAAAGGACAACGATTTAGTAACGGAAGTCAGAATAAGAAAGAACTGGTTGTTGGGAAAGTTCGTTTTCGATTTGTTAGCCCACCTTTCCAAACTGAAGGTATATGCATTAAAGAAATTCTTTTTAGACCTTTAAAGAACGAATAACCCATGGAAGTTTAGGCAAGCGAGCGTACTTCATCAAGAGAGACTTAGTCCGCAGCAACTTTATCCCTGCATGAGATTCTAGACGCGAAAGAGTCACTTCTATACCTGCCCAATTATAAGCAAATAAGTCCCTGCTTCAGAATTTTTTCCTTGCATCGCGCAGAAAGCCTGGACATCATTAATTATTCATGAGAACTGAAGCGGAAGGGCTGAAACTAGCGAAGCAGCGTCGATAAAATTCTCTTCCCAATTGCCAGAAGCAAATAAGAAACCAAAGAGCGATTTTTTGAAAAGGAAGAGTTTATCTTTATTTTAAGCTTAAATAGAAGTAGTTTGAGAAAGTTTAAGTTAGGACTATTCCTGAGCCTTTAAAAATGACGAAAAAACAAACATTTTTAATATGAAGGCCCATTTCAAAGGCGCACCTAAGTGGTGAATAGTCTGTCTTAACAAGATTACCTCTGCATGTGTCACCTAAACTTCTCTAAAGTTCCATCCATCACTTTTACCATTCAGTGTGCCTGTTCAAGACTGACTTAAGTAGTTGTCAGAGTGGATTATGCATAGGTGTGTTTTAACTCTGATTGCTAGATTTTATTTTTGCCTGTTTAAAGAAGTAATGAAATAAAGAGAAACAAATCATTTGTTTGACGAATAGATTCCGTTTTGCAGTGCTTATCACAGATTACGTCAAAAATAGTTCTTGTAGTATATTGTGTTACATAGCGTTACGTAGCGTTCCTACTCTAAGGAACTTTCCCGCCAATACTCAATCGCGCCGTAAATCTACACTTCTAAGTGAAAGTAAAGTAACTGATCACGAGCATTATTAGGTAAATATATTATATTGACTATTGAATGAAATAAAATTGAGTTAGAGTAATGTGAGAGATCATTTGACCCACGAATACTCTGCCGTACTGAAGAATAAAGAAAGGTGGCAGACAAGGCGCCCCTGAGTGTGTCACAATGTTCTCACCTCATTTTGACGTCTTCTGTGATATATTAGGGACCTTAAGAAAACCACGACAGCGACGGCCACGGCGACGGCCACGGCGACGAAGACGTGGAAAACAAACTGATCTAATGGGAACACGTGCGTTTTAAAACTTTGTGCATTTCTCAGCCGTCCTCTACAAAACAAAAAAGTCGTGGAAATCACCAAAATTGGCGTCGTCTTTAAATGGAAACCGCGACGGCAAATCACTTTAATTTCTATTTGGAACTCAAAGATGTTTAGATGCGTTATGCTAAAGTTAAGGCGTGGCGCCGTAAGAGACGGTAATTACCAGTAAACACTTGCAGCCATTTTTCGAAATCCTTTCTTAAAATAGAAATTTTTTTTTAATCGACGTCTTCCTTAGCGTTGCCATCCTGACTACTTAAGGTCCCCATTACTGTACAAATCCCGGCAACATAGAACCTTCTTGTTTTATCTGAGAACAAAGAAAATTGTTGTTAATTGTGGCGTCATCCATGCGTCTGTCTTTTATAGATCACAAGTAAGCTACCAGTGAAAATGCGTGTATAATTCCGCTTATCAGATACACTGCTTTACTGTAACGGAGAACTTATGCGTTCCTGTCACTGTATTTATAGACTGTTTGAAACACTATTCCTACATTCAGGGCCCTGGAAACCGACTTGATAACTGAGAAGAAGATTAGAAATATATAGAAATGAAATAAAGGGCTCGGATATTATATTTCAACAAGAGTAGAGATCAATTAACCTGCATCAATGTTGCTTCTAAAAGGATGGTTCCAAAGATTGATTTTGTATTTGCTTGATTACTTGTCACAGTTTCTTGGAAAATACACTATCCATCTTAGAGAGAAAAAATTCTTAAAATAGAACTAAATAATTTTTGGCTGTCGACATTTTTAATTTTTGCACGCATTTATGCCCAAAGATATCGTTACAACTAAGCAATTTCAATAACCAATTGTAAATCAAATATGATGAAAACTGTTTTAGTAGTGGACTTATTACTTTTCAGGGGACCGTTGGCTTTACATTTTCCCTTTCACACAGTGTCAGTCGTAGAAGCGTAGTCAAAGGGGGGGGGGTGCAATATTTTGCAATTACAGTTAACGCAATTGGAAATTCCTGGATTCCTCTGAATCGTCTTCGTTCTCAGTAATTCGAAACCTGAGAATCTCAAGAATACTAAGGCCCTCCACAGACTAGGGATTTAGTTGTCGACAACTATTTGTTATCGACCACTAAAAGTTATCGACAACTAAATAAGTCCGATAAAGGGATTCCACACACTGGCGCTCAAATACTGATTTAGCAAACGATACACAGGGAGGTTGGGCACCAAGAGCTTACTGCGCATTCTCCGCATCGCCATAACGCCATATATATAGCAACTTTTTCATCGACATCAATGGACTGCCTCATTCTTCTCGTTTCTCGGTGAATATAAGGGGTCAATCTTTCAACAATAAGAAGAAAAGTACCCCTGACAACTCGCAAATTGGTGATAAAATCGCCGTCATTCCAGTTTCTACGGCACGTTGGTCAAAATTCCCTCGAACGAACTTTTACGCCAAATTTGCCGTTCAATCGTTTTGGATAAAATATCCTGCACCAGAACTTGTTGGTGGGCACAAGCTGCCGCAATAATGACATCGTTAGTGTCGTTTCCACCTCCAAGAACAGGATGTGGAGAAGAAAGATCA